TCGCAGGAGTTCTGCATTCAGGAGACGGCTGTGGTGCACACTGAGTGTGTGAACGGACGAGGGCAAAACCTTCCTGGCACAGTGCTTCGGAGGTACGTCTTTCCTGGAAGACCAGGGGTTCTTCCACGCCACAAACAGCAGCAAGCAAAAATGCTTTAATTTTTTTTCCCAGATTGACACTTCTGTGCGGTTGGGAGAACAAAGAAATACATACGTACATAATACATACATACATGCGTAGAAAGCCTTCCTTTTTTTCTATGTTCTCCGTAGGCTACGATTTTAAGTGTTTTAGGATTTGCATATGCGAGTGTCTGTCACACACATTCATATACGCGCACATATCCACAGGCGCTCATGTGTATATAGATTTATATATTTGTATGTTTATAAATAAATAGCATGTATTTCGGGGCGTGACCCAACTTCAGGCAGCCTGTTTAATGGGAACGTCCTGTCTTACACACATTTTCCAAACGGTTACTATATCTTGGCACCCTCTTGAAAAGCTTGTACTATGATTTGAACACGTGTGGTTAAACCATCGGACCCGGAGCAGCTCCTAGATTATTTGTAATTAAGCACAATTCCCAAAGTAACATTTATCTTCCCGAAACTGCGATTGCAATTGTCAACCGTCTGGAGGAGACGCGGGGTAATCTGGAAGCATTACCTCCTCTCCTAACGGAGCAGAATGAAAAGAAATCAATACCTCTGAGGAGAAGAATTTAGTAGTTTTTAACTGTAAGTGGTGCCTGGGAGAAGGTGATATATAATAGGAAAAAAAAAAAAAAAAAAAAAAAAGAAAAAACAAACCAGAAAGCAGCTTAAACAAATCTATTCTAGGCAGGACCGAAGGAGCGGCGGCGGGGGCTCCGCGCTGTGCCCCGCCCGGTGCCGGCGCGCTCAGCCCGGGCGCTCGCTCTCCCCGCCGGCGCCTCCCGGTACTTACATGACCGCCCAGGAGCCGATGCGTGCACAGCCATAGCGTACCGGGAGAGCGGGCTGGGGGCGGGGGTGGGGAGGGCAGGGGAAGAAACGGGGAGAAGAAGGAGGAGATGCGGATCGGATCTAGGCGCACACCGGCGATGTAAACAGAGTGGGTGTGAAGGTGCCTCTTCCTCTCCCTCCCCAGGCATGCACACACCAGCATGTGCGCGGTGTCTTCCCGGCTAATTTAAATTTAATTACAGGGACCTTTCGGAGACGCAGCTAGCTGCTTTTTTTTTTTTTTTTTTTTTTTTTTTTTTTTTTTTTTTTTAACACAGATCCAGACAAATAAATAAACAAACGAGGAAAGACGTCGAAGTGACTCGTGAATCCCCTCCGCCGGCTGCAGACAGGTCGGCGTGTCCCCTCTCCAGAGAGAAGAGAAGCCCGGGCTCTGCCGGGCGCCTCTCCCCGCCGCCTGCGCGGAGGAGCAGTCAGGCCGCTCCAGGCTGGGAAAAGCGTGGCGGGCAGCGGGACGGGCACACCGGCAGGGTTGCCGGGTACCTGGGGCACGTTTACACCTACGGGAGAAAAAACCCACCGAGGCAATAGGTGGAGGCAGCGGCGCACACGCACCGTCCGCTCCCGCCGCGCCGCACCCGTGCCCGACAGGGAACTCCGGTCTCCACGAAAGTGCCCAGTGAGGCAGGGAGGGAAACGTCCCAGGTGAAGCACAGCTGTGCAGAGGTGTAGGTGGAGGTTAAAGGAAGACATTAACCACCCTCTTTGCTCAGTGACCGCCAGGCACAGCGCGGTCCTTTCTGACTGGTGGCCGTTTGGTCTCGTTTATGTCCCATTCCCCTTTCTCCGTTCCCCGAGCAAGCCGAGCCCTCGTGCGCAGGGAGAGTTGTTTGTCACCCCTCCGTAAATCTTCCCGGTGACAGATTCTAGGTGAAGGTGTCGGGCGAAGGGGACACTTCCTGGCCCCCACCTACCCAGCCCAGGGCAGCAGATACGGGGCGGTGGGGCAAGCACGGGGGCAAGGCAGCCTTTTCCAGAGCACGGAGCCCAGGGAGGCGAGGACAAGGCCCCCTCCTAGAGGCTTTCCCCCGTGACCACGGGAGCGGAGCTGGGAGCCGCTGGACGCCGAGGAGCGAGGCTTCCTCCTCGCTGGACGCTTGACAGACGGCGGAGCGGAGCCGCACCGCCAGGGAGGCGACAGGAGAGTCTGGCTCCCACCCGTGTGTCCCTAAATTGGCGCAAGGGTGGCCTGAAACGCTTTCCCCCGCTAACACGGACATTCAGCACACGGCGTGGTCAGCCTGCAGCTTAATTTTTCCAGCTACGCCCTTTCAAATAGCACAGACCTCTGTTTCCTCAAAGAGAAATCCTCCTCTACACCCCGGTAGCGCTGTCTGTAGACAGGCGAGGACCTCTGGTACAAGGGTCTATCCATCTCTGTCCGCTTGCCGGTCGCAGCGCGGAGAATCGGGGTATGCTCCAAGAAAATCCACCCCCCTTCCCGAAAGGTTAGCGACAGCTATCGTTGTGTCTAAAGTTCCGAGATTGCTAATCTACATTGTAGGCTCAAGATGTTAGGTAGACTTGAGCAAGTTGTTCCCAGGATGTAAATTAGGTCCAAAAAGCTGTTGTCCAAATCGAAGAAACAGAGAAATTAATCTGGGAGACTATCCATCATAGGCTGTAATAAAGGGAGCGACATGGATGAGACAGATGATATGATTAAGGAGCTGTGGTCGTTTTAATTAACTTTTTGCTGTCCTGTAATGATCAAACTGGTCAACAGACCCGGTCAATAAGCATGTTAATATCAAACAAATAAAACCAGGGATGATTAAAAACCTCCTGGTTTATTAAATTTGAAATTCAAATGAAATTTATGCTGCAGATGCATACAGAATGCTAATAGATTTTAGCTTTATTGAGAGTGGATCCCACAGGTTTTCAAGAAACGGCACGAACATTTATCTCCTCCCGTACATTAAACTTCAAATGGGGGGGAAAAAAAAGTTTTAATTAATTTCTGGAAAACCTCTCTTTCCTGGCTTCCCCCCCCCCCCGCCGCCCCGCCGCCCCCACCTGCATATTATGTTGATGTACTGCACCCTTAAGTGCAGTGGTCAATAAGGCAAATGCAAACAAAATTGTAAGCTTGCTTAAATCCTTTGCCCAGCAGGCAATGTATACAAAGGAGGAAGGTTACAGATGTTTCCGTGGCCAATTCAGAAAATATCAGCTCACCGCTCTCAAAGTTCAGAAGCTGCTGCTTTTCCAGTTTCGGGGAAATTATCAGAGTAGCAGGAGGATGCCCACTGGCAGGAGTTTTGTGATTTCTGTTCTGATGTATTTGCCTTTTTTTTTTCCTCCCTCTCAGTTGAGTTCCCTTGTAAAGACTCCCACGACTATTTTTGCAACGAGTTTTTCATAATTTCCCACATGGTGCTTTTAAAGGAAAAGCGCACTGAAAATTAAGGATTTTCGACCCCAAATCAAAGGAGTCAAGGCAAGCATCAGAACAAACAAACACGAAAAGATCAAAAAAGGACACGTTTCCTCTGGGCAGACAAGTGCAGACAAAATACGGATGCGAATGGAAGACCCACCCGGCGAGGCTGTCCTAAAAAGAGATATATCACTAAAGGCTTCTACTTCCCCGGTGTATGGCAAAGTCTCTCAGACTTTCTGGGGCTGAAAGGAATGCGTGTCGATCTTTTTACCTAACCTGGCACACCACAAAATGCGATTTTGTGTTCATCTAAAATGTAATGCTCACGATGCTTGTTTTGCTCTTACGCTTTCTGATCTATGTCTTAATAGTTTCTCCCCATCTTCAGCAGATAAAGAAAGTGGAGATAAAAAGTTAATAAGTATTCATACAAGGGAGTATCTCCGGGAAATGTTCTTCCCCTCTTTGCGGGTGATAGTATTGATTAAATTAAATCCGAAATTTAAACAAGTGTACGTTAGGTCTGTAAAATGAATATCATTATAGAAGGAGACCAAAGCAATGAAGTTAATTCTTTTTATTTGTTAAACGGAGTTCCCTCCTTCCCCCACCCCTTCCTCCTTCTGGGCTGGCCTGTCACGCCTTCTCAACAGGCTAAAATCATTCAGAGCAGCTCGCAGAGAGAAACGCGACATTTATGGTAAGCGTCAGCTTTCAGAGAAAGAAAGCAGTTCATTAATTTACTTCACTCTTACTTCAAAGTATGATAATGTACATTACTCCCTTGATCAATAGATATGATGTACAGTCAATATCCCCACGACACGGAAACGGGTCAAAACCGGAGCCGAGAGAAAGAGGAAAAACATCCCCTGGAAAGCTAAGCAAAGCCGTGGAAAACCCGCGGGGGTGAGAGCACCTGGGCGAGCAGGGCCGGGCCGAGCGGGGTCCCGCAGGGCCAGGGGGAGAGGGCTCTGACCTTCCCCGCAGCCTCCCAGGGCTGGGCGAGGAGCCGAGGAGAGCAAAGCGCTCACCTTCGGCGGGGACGAGGCGGCGGGAAGCCAGCCCCTGGTTGTGCCGGGGCCGCCCGGGTGGACTCCGCTTGTGCAACTCCTCCGCCAAGAATCGCGCCTGAAAGCGCGGTCGGCGAGGGCGAGAAGGGAGGGAACGACAGGCAGCAGTGACCTAAAGTGTTCCCCCCCCTGTATGCCGGGACAACGGGAGAAGAGGGGCTGACCAGAAGGGATCGGGAAGGGGGGAAAGGGGGACTAGTGGAGAAACGGGATGCTACCGCTCTCGCCGTGCCGATTATCACAGTATGACTGAGATTATGATGATGATCATGATGGTATAAAAATTCAAACATAAACCGCTCCGAAGGGAAAAAAAAAAAAAAACAACCTCAAAAGCAACTGTTGTCAAATTGCGCACACGGCTGTGGGGTGGGGGGGTGATGGATAGGGCGGCCGGGACGAAGTAGCCCGACCCGGGGTGAGCGGTCCCTGCGGACCGGGACCGCAGCCCGCGCCGCTCGCCGACGTGAGTGCGTGAGGTCATCAGCGCCGGCGGGGCCCGACGGCCCGGCTCGACGGCGCTGCTGACTTCACGCAGTCACGTCGGCGAGCGAGGCGGCGGTGGCGGGGATTGGCTGGCGGTGGCTCAGCGGCACTTCAAAGCCGGCGAGGGAGCTACAATTGTGGTGGAATGGGCGGAACTGATCATTGTATTGCACACCTCTAAAAAAAACACTGCCTCTGATTTATCAATATAAAAAAGATCCTCTGAGAGGAGGGCACTTTTGTGTGATGGCAACTTCACTTCTAGGGGTGAGTCTAAGGATTTTTTTCTCTTGCTGGTTTAATTGGTTTCTTTTTATTGTCGATTGGAGGGGGTTAAAATAACCCCTGTCTTGACCGGGGCTATCAGTCTCCTCTATTCAGCCTGGTTTTTTTTTCTTATTCTTTTTTTCTTTTTCTTTTTCTTTTTTTAGCTTAAGTACAAGTGAATTTAGGTGAAAAGAAAGAGTGAGAGGGGGAAAAGGGGGCAGAGTCACTTTTCAGTGAGCAAGAAAAGGTTTTAAGGGCATTTGTAGAAACAACCTACAGCGCCTAGGCTGTGCTGTTCCTGTGCCCCCGAAGAAGTGGCTTTTCTTCTTTACATGTGACTGCTGGAAGAAAAAAAAACAACAAACAAAAAAATAATCCCAAACCCAGCACTATCGGGTTTTTTTGCGTGCAATTTTTTAAAAAATTGCAACAGATTGTGGCTTTTTATTTCCCTTTAAAATAACACAACCCACCGTGTCTAGCAGGTACGTTCAACTCGTGTATGCATACATATTTACATATGTTAAATTTATAAATGTATTTCATTATCGTTGCTACGTAAATTAGGCTGATTTAAAGGACGCTTAAAGAAAAAAAAAATAACAACAAAACAGTAATTTGATAGTCCTGCGTTTTGTATTTAAGAAAACAGCCTTACTGGCCTGAGGGACGGGGACCAGCCACGTCCCGGGGAAAGGGAGCAGGCTGAAACGTAGCTGCCGCCGTGCCGGGGGCATCTTTAAAGCTACGGTAACAGACGCAACTTTTTTCCCCTCTCTTTTTTTCTTCCCCCTTTTTAACCCTTCCTGAGCTCCTTCGGGGGAGGGGAGTTGGATGGTGAAAAAAAGCCCCGGTAGGCGTTTGGAGGCAGAACTGCGGTGCCGGCCCCAGCGAAGGGACCCTCCCGCGGGAGTCGCGAAACTTTGCGCCCGGGGCCGGGCGGCGGAGCGGAGCGGAGCGGGGCCGGGCGGCGGAGCGGTGCCGGGCGCGGAGCGCGGGGCGCGGGGCGGCGGCGCGGGGCCGCTCCATCCCTGACGCCGGCGGGACGGCCCTCTCCCCTCTGTGCCCGCAGGAGGAACCGCGGGTAGGCTCCACGCCGCTGGCCATGCTCGCCGCGACCTGCAACAAGATCGGCAGCCCCAGCCCCTCGCCGTCCGCCCTTTCGGACAGCACGTCCTCCTTCGGCAAAGGCTTCCACCCCTGGAAACGCTCCTCCTCCTCAGCCTCGGCGGGCAGCTGCGGGGCCGTGGGCTCCGGCCTCCCGGGCTTCGGCGTGGCGGGCGCGGCGCGGAACGGCTCCTCGGCGGCGGCGGCAGCGGCGGCGGCTGCGGCGGCCGCCCTCGTCTCGGACTCGTTCAGCTGCGGCGGCTCGCCGGGCTCCAGCGCCTTCTCGCTCACCTCCAGCAGCGCGGCGGCCGCCAGCTCGCCCTTCGCCAACGACTACTCCGTCTTCCAGGCGCCGGGCAGCGCCGGTGGCGGCGGCGGCGGCGGAGGCGGCGGCGGTGGGGCGGCAGGACAGGAGGCGGCGGCGCACCAGCCCGTCTTCATCTCCAAGGTGCACACGTCGGTGGAGGGGCTGCAGGGCATCTACCCGCGGGTGGGCATGGCGCACCCCTACGAGTCCTGGTTCAAGCCCTCGCACCCGGGGCTCGGCGCCGGCGAGGTTGGCTCAGCGGGCGCCTCCAGCTGGTGGGACGTGGGCGCCGGCTGGATCGACGTGCAGAGCCCCAACGGCGCGGCCGCGCTGCCTGGCTCGCTGCACCCGGCGCCCGGCGGACTCCAGACCTCGCTCCACTCGCCACTGGGCGGCTATAACTCGGATTACTCGGGCCTGGGCCACTCGGCCTTCAGCAGCGGCGCCTCCTCGCACCTCCTCAGCCCCGCCGGGCAGCATCTCATGGACGGATTTAAGCCGGTGCTGCCCGGCTCCTACCCGGACTCGGCCCCCTCGCCGCTGGCCGGCGCCGGGGGCTCCATGCTGGGCGGCGGCCCCGCCGCGCCGCTGGCCGCTTCGCCGCGGTCCTCCGCCCGCCGCTACTCGGGGCGCGCCACCTGCGACTGCCCCAATTGCCAGGAGGCCGAGCGGCTGGGGCCGGCGGGGGCCAGCCTGCGCCGCAAGGGGCTGCACAGCTGCCACATCCCCGGCTGCGGCAAGGTCTACGGCAAAACCTCGCACCTGAAGGCGCACCTGCGCTGGCACACGGGCGAGCGGCCCTTCGTCTGCAACTGGCTCTTCTGCGGCAAGCGCTTCACCCGCTCCGACGAGCTGCAGCGGCACCTGCGGACCCACACGGGCGAGAAGCGCTTCGCCTGCCCCGTCTGCAACAAGCGCTTCATGCGCAGCGACCACCTCAGCAAGCACGTCAAGACCCACAGCGGCCCCGGAGGCGCCGGGGGCCCCGGCGGCGGCGGCCCCGGCGGCGGCCCCGGCCCCGGCGGCAAGAAGGGCAGCGACACCGACAGCGAGCACAGCGCGGCCGGCAGTCCGCCCTGCCACTCCCCGGAGCTGCTGCCGCCCCCCGAGCCCGGCCACCGCAACGGGCTGGAGTGACGGGCGGAGGCTCGGGGCCGTCGCGCCCCCCAGTCCCGCCGCCCCCCTGGTCGCGCAGCCCCCCGAGCGCGCAGCCCTGCGGCGGGGACGCGGACACGTAAGTAGCTGGCACGGCTCCGCAAGAACGGCGCTCAGCCCCGCGGCCGCTCCGCTGCCCTCCCGGGCAACCCCGGTGCGGCCGGGCCGCGCAACCCCCGCGACGGGGGCAGGGGAGCGGCTCGGCAAGGGCGGAGAGCCGCGACCCCCCATGGGGCGGCCCCGCCGCCGCCTCCTTTCCCCTTCGCCTTGAGACCCCCCCGCCTCGTGTTGCTTTTAGAGCGGAAAAAACACCCACGTCCCCTCTCGCTTTGCTGCTGGAAACCGTCCCGTACTCCCTCCCTCCGCCGCTGGCGCCGGCAGAGCCGCGCTCGGTGCCCCGGCGGGGCGGGCAGGCGGGCCGGGGCTGCTCCGCGGCGGGGCCTCCGACGGCAGCGCCGCCAGCCGCGCTCCGCGCCCCGCGCAGCGCCGAGCTGACTCTCGGACCTGCTCTCAGCCCGGTGCCTGCTCGGAGGCCGTCTGCTCCCCGGGACCGGAGCGGCAGTGTGCTTATTTCCCTTCCTCCTTTTTTTTTTTTTTTTTTTTTTTTCAATTTTAACGAATCGTTTACCTCCTCGAGTCCGAATTTCACTGCGTTTGCCAGCATATTTGTATAATTCTCGTTTGAGCAGGAATCGCGAAATACGTTGAAAATAATTAGGTTGAAAGTCGTATATTTTTTTTTAACTTCAGACAGATGAAGAAGAATCGTGGGTTTCAAGCGAAGATGTATTTCCAATGCCAAAAAAGGGAGGCCGGGGGGGAATAGGAAAATTAAATATTTGTAAAATGCGTCTGAACCTATAGGTTTGTACCACTGGGAAATCGTTCTAGATTAGCTAACAATTAATTAAACTCCACCAATATATCGGTGTGAGGTGCAGTTGTCCAGGAGACGATTTTGTATAGTATTTTTCTTGTAAATTTCTTCCAGTAAATATTTGAAAATATATTGAAGTACACTTGAGCTTTTTTTTCTTTTTAATTTTTATTTCTTTTCCTGTCACGAGAAAACATTCTTGTTGCAGTCCTGGTTCACTGCATTTTTTTTTTCTGGACTCCTCTCTTGAAGTGTGCATCAAATCACTCTTCAGGATATAGGTTTTGCTTGAATATTAATTTAGCTAGGCATACAACTGTAATTAAGCAAACAATATTTGATAAATGTTGAATGACATTTAATTTAATGGAGCATGTACTTATTTGCATTTGCTGGCAGTTCAGGTATAGTTACGGTGAGAGTTCTCCTATATTTCATAAAGTGGGTTTGCCACAACCCATGTATTAAATAAACTGTCCAAGTGAAACTGAACTAACGTTGGCCTATGTGTATTTCCTGAAAATAATATTGGTAAATGTTAATAAACACTCCTGACACTACATTAGCGGTTTGCAATGCTGCAAACTAATTGTCTCATTGTAATGTTGAAATAATTTGGATATTTCACATTGAAATGAAAAGCCCTTCGCTGGAACATTTTAGATTTGCATTTTAAATGCATGAAATGTAATTGATTTTTATCTGTAATATTTTAAATGGTATTAATAAACTCCAGAAAATCATTCTACCTTAGGTCAGCCAGTTGTTTTTCTTCTTTGTAAGTCCATCGTTACAGTCAATGATTTGTTTTGAACTCATATGGCATGAGTTGTTCTCTAGAGTTTCAGAGAAAAGTGCGCATACAACGAACGTAAATTTTAGCACATACTAAGAGCAGCTTTGAGGCATTAAAATGGGTAAGTTGTTCTGTTTCATGCTTTTTAAAATGCACCATCAGAGGAAACTAAATGAAGGACATTAGCTCTTCTTTTAGAAAATTGTTAAATTGTTCTTATCAGACTAATTTTACAGTGCCTCTCACAAATCTGAGTATGTTTGAGCAGCTGCTTTGCATATACCTCCTCCTTGAAATTATTTTTCACATCCCTCCAGATCCATTGTGAAAGGAGATTTAATATTGAAATGCTGAGGGTCATTATTGCTTTAAAAGACAAAAGAAAAAGTGGTCCTCTGCTTTTGTTTTGAGCTGAGGTGGTTGTGGCTGGGGGCGATGCTAATTGCCGTAGCGAGCACTAACTTCTTCAGGTCTCAGGGCTGGGAAACTTCGCGGTTGTGTGTGAAAACTCCCTTCTTGTTCGGGGGCGTTTTCCCCACAGGACCGGGAATCTGGGCAATTTCAGGGGCTGCGGGGTGCTGTCAGCCAGCCGGTCAAGCGCTGCCGCCCTTGCTGTGTCCTTTAAATCTTTTCCACAAGCTCCCCCTGGACAACAATAAAAACACAATTGTGCATTTGCTTAGCGTTTTGGCAAAAACCCCCAAAACACCAAACCGAAACCAACCCAAACCCCTCAAACTCCTAACACTTTCTTTTACCACCTTCTTTGGGGAGTGGGGGGATGGGGGTGGGGAAGCGTCTGGAGGTCGTGTTATTTCTGTTTGGAAATCTGGCCTCTTCTCTTACCTAGGGAGGTGATGCTCGCTGTCAGGGTACTGGAAAATTAGGGCTAGAGCATGTAATCTGCATAGCAGAATGATCTTTTGTGCACACATGTAAAACACATGGTTGCTGGTAGTACCTTAAACAACAGGTATTAAACTGCAGGGCAAAAAAGCACAGACCAGTCAACTCCAGAGGCGTTCAACATTTTGGTCCCCTGCATGGTGTAGGGGTTAGATGGGACTGTTAACAACCACTAGAAACGGAAGTTGCTCTGGTTGACTTTTTCTGAACTGCATTCAGATTTTTCTTCATTACAAATGCAACCAGGAGAGGCCTGCAAAGTTTGCTACTGAAACAAAGCAACAGTTTGCTCTGATTTTTTTTGGTTTTTAATACCATGTAAATGGGGTGGTGGAGCAGCACCTGATTTCCCCATTTGGAGTGAGAGGCAGTGGTTATGTTACTTGGAAATTTTGGTCCTGATGAAATGGTCTGAGCACCTAGTAAAAAGGGTAATGGAGCAGAGGATAACTTCTAATACTGCTTCTCCAATACGCACCTGAAAAGAAAGTGCTATCAAAATGCTATTGTCCAGGAACTTGATGGTTTCTTTAGGGCACTGGTTGCTCCATCTTGGGAATGTTTGGCAGTGGGATAGAGCCAGCAGCAAAATCCATCCTTGGCCCAGGAAGGAGCGTGTGCTGCTGCTGTTTGGGAGCTGCCAGTTTGCATCCAGGGTGTGTGAGAACACACATATTTTTCCTTTCTTTTACTAGCAAAACCCAGCACTTGAAGGCTGAATAGCTCCTTTTTGTAATGGATTTACTTTTACTAAACCCTTCCAGATAAGGGCATTGAGTTGCTTGATAGGAGCCGGGAACTTGTCTCTGCGTTGTGCAGATCAAGGTAGAGTTAAACTAGTTTGCTGACCTGCGGGTCAAACCGGTGTCCATCAACTTACCTTCCAACAGCCTTCAGATGATTGTGGCCATTCCCGTTTGCTCTCTGACCTTTTAAGTCGCTTCCCTTCAAGCTCGTAGCAATGTCTATCGAATTTCGTGTCTTGCTTTACCCATTATTCCGGCTTTTTATTGTCATTTTCCAGTTTAAATTTTCAATAGAGCAGTGATGGGAGATGTGTGGAGCTGAAGTGATGTAAAACGCCACTTCATTTCTGCCTGCTGATAGTGCCTTTCCTGCTACCCTCCGCCTGTGCCTGACGAGACTAAGCAGCAGTCAAAATGTGCTGACTTCTCCTCGATTCCAGTCTAGGAATGTGAAAGCAGAAAACAAGAACCGAAATATCAAATGCTTTATTTGTGGATGTGGTGGCTAATCCAGCCGTCAACACGTTCACAGCTGTAAAGGTGATGGAGTAAGGATACTTGATGCAGTCCAACAAATCTTTCAGTACGAGTGGCTGAAAGTAAGTATGCACTTGCCAAGACCTGCCACATTTCAGTTACATTCTGTGAAGCAACCTCTGGTTTATCTTTGCAAAGAAGGAGCTGGGAAAAGGTGTGAGCAAATTAGGTGTGCAGTTGCCCATGTTCTTGCCAGATTTATGATAGAAGGACAAAAAACTCTTTTGCTGTATCAGAACAACCTTATGTTTCTTAGAATAAATTGGGATTGCTTTCTAAGCTCACTCCATTGCACTTTGTTTTTTTAATCATAAAGATATATTAAAAATTACTCAACAATTCCATGGAGGAGAGCACATTTTGTAATATCTGCTTTAAAAAGTAGAACACTAATTTTTCACTTGTTATGGCATCGTTTTAAGCAAACTGTCTATCTTTTGCTAAAGTGTATGGAGAAATTTTTGCACATCAGGAAGGTGTGTATTGAGGAAAACTGCGCTATTTAGGACAATTATTGTGTTTCCTGTTGTATGGTTTTCTAACTGCCACTTGGAATTACTTTTTTTAAAAAGGGATTAGGGAAATAGGGGATAATGGCAAGTGGATAGGAGCTTTAGTGGGGCACTTTAAATACAGAGTAATTCCATTTTACACTTGTGGATTTCGAAACAGACTGGGATCCTGTATTTCTTTTTGAGAAGGGCACAATTTTTCAAGAAGCATATTTATATTGCCTGCAAGGCCCGGTGAGGAGCTGAATAATGGACCAACCGCCTGTGGCGTAATCTTGATCTTGGCAATCCGAGAATTCTGCTTTTCAGCCTGAGCGATACTGCTCTGCAAAGTGCAAAAAGCAGACGGGGAGCCCCGACGCTTGCGCGAAGTCGGTGTCCCCAGGGAGGCGATGCTGGGAGCAGCCCCCGCTCCCGGCTGGAGCCTCGGGGCCGCCCTGTATGTCGGGGACGCAGAAAGAAGGCTTGTGAGTGTTCATCCCTTATTATGGAAAGAGAGGTGCTTGGGCGGGAGGTTTCTTTTGAACAACTTTTGTTTCTGGGGCGATGTCAAGCCGTGCAAATGTCTTTTGCAGGGACGAGGAAAAGAACACTTTTTTTTTTAAGTATTATTGTTATTATTATTATTGCCGGCTACATACTTTGATTTACGCCTTGAGACAGGAGGATGTGCATGTGTGTGCCTATGCACCCAGTGCTGTTCTCCCACGCCTTACCAGCTCTCCGTCCGCTGACAATCAAGCCGGCCACTCGCACATCCCGGTTGCTGCTGAGCAGAAGGCTCTGCACCTCGCCCGGACTTTCTCCCCATCGCCGCACCGCTGCTTCTTTCGGGAGCGATTAGCTGCCTCCCCATTGCCCCTTCCCCTTTTCCGCCCCCTTTTCCGCGGACACGCTGGCGCACACCGGGGAGCGGGGGCGGCGCGGCCGGAGCTGCCGCGGGCTCGCAGCGCCACCCGGCGTGAGCGCCCCGTGGGCAGCGGGAGCCCCGAGGGGACCGAGCCGGCCCCGGCAGGGAACCCGTGCGGGAGCGGCGGGAGGCGCGGGGCTGGCCCTGCCCGGTCCCACCCGTCCTGGCACCGGGCGCCGGCGTGTCCTTCAAACTCAGGGTGTTCTACTCCAAATCACAGCCAGTTCTCTCCCCCCGGACGAGGTGCCCGGCTTTCCCTCGAGGGACACGTCGCGACACTCCTTAGGACGGTGGGCTTATTTTTTTGCAGAGCAAATGGTCCAGTATTCGTTTCTGCGGGCAGATGAGCAGCTCCAAGCCTGTATGGGAGAATGAATCTCCGTGAAATCGCCTGGAAATAGGTGAGATGAAGAAGGTGCCCGCAGCCCCCCAGGCTCTGCCGAGCGTTCGCACAGCGGCTGGAAATGGGGCGGCCGGGGATCCCCGCCGAGGCAGGACGATATCCTTGTCTCGGATGAAGAGACGCTGGAAGTGCAAAAGCAGCTACTAGGGAAGGATTGGGGATTTATTTTAGATGCTTCATCCCGGAATTCTTTGAAAGCTGCTGGGCGGGGGAGGTGACAGGGTGACAAGGGCTTTTGGCTGAGTTGCTAAACTCATTCATGTAGTTGAACGCTGTCTCGGAGACGGCTTTTTAAAAATTTTTTCCTTTTTTTTTTTTTCTTTTTTTCCTTGCGTTTGTTGCAGAAAACTGTCCCGAGGAGACGCTCCAAAGTACTTTCCTATATTTTTGTAAATTTATCTTCTCAGGGTAGCTCAGGTGTTCTCTTCACAGACTTGTGCGTGTGAAAGGCAGAAAGTGTGTTCCTGATAATTAAAATTGCTCCACAGTTAAATAACGCTGCTCCTGGCTTTAGTTTTAGAAAGCACTTTTTTTTTTTTTTTAATCAAAATGTATAGTACGTTATTAAATTCTTACAACCCTGTTGGCACCCGGTTTGGGAAGGGCTAACGGGAGGCACCGGCGGCGGCTCCCGGGGCGCGGGGGGACGGAGCGACACGGTGACAACGCCGCGGAATGGGCACAGCGGCAAAGGTGTCCTCTCAAAGGAAAGGCGGCCGGCAAATAAAACCCCTTCAGCCTGCGAATGAGGTACTGAAGTAATATCCCCGCCGGCTTCCCTGCCTCCGATTGCAAGGAGCAGGCAGTCGGATTTTTAACTACTCGAAGGAAGATGTTTTAACACTCAGAAGTGCAGGAATTTTTCTCTTTTCACTGCTGTCCCTTCTTACATAGCTCTCGAAATTTTTAACCCCTTAGTCGCCTTCTCGCCTCTACTTTTCAGAGATTTAGGATTTTTCTTTTTGGTTTTGTTTTGTGGTGGGTTTTTTTTTTTGTTTGTTTGTCTGTGGTTTTTGTTTTTAGGTATTTTCACGCTCATACTCAAAGATCAGACATAGATGCCTGGCAACAGGTATGAAGATTTTCTTCTCCATTACAGCCATCAACCTGTTGAGAGGATGCTGCCTATCCTTGCAAGTCTTGCTTATTGCAAAAACATAACCACCAGACTCCACTCAACTGCCTTCTCAGACCTGCCAAGTGAGTTCTGTGAACCTCTCTTTCCTCAGGGTAAAGGAGGCAAGCCACAATTATTTGCCAGTAGTGATTTTTGGTTTCTCCAGATAAATAAATATAAGGTGGGATTGCTGAGCAGTGAAAGGTATTAGATTTGATGCAGAGTTTAGGTGGGCAGTGCAAACAGGCTGTCCCAAGGAGGAAATCCCTACCTGGTAGTAGGTTGGTACCTGAAACTTCAGTAAGAGCCAGCATCACTGTCTGCTGTGTGTGTTTGCTTTGCTTTGCATAGTCCGACCATTACCGCACTAAGAATGGGGTTTAATTTGCTTGTCCATATACATATGAAAGGACAAAGCCAAACGGAGAAAACACTTGCCAAACACAGTTTTCAATTGCGCTGAATGCAGCGGCACACTGTTAACTCTGCACAGCCATCTTCGGTGTCAGGACAAACACAGGTCTCACTTTTTAGAGGGGTGCAGAGCAGGACTCCTTCCCTCCAGAGCACTGGTGTCACTCACGAACAGTGTCACTCACGAACTGTGTCACAGCCCTGGCTCAAGCAGCCAGGGAGTTTATCAGCCTCGTGCACCAAGCCCAAGATTTCCAGCAGACTTCTGTTTTAATGCCCACTTTGACAGTGGATCACTTCTACTTTCAATTAAACTCAACAGCCTGTGGGAACAGCTGCAGACTAAATTTACGTCCCGTTTTGCCAAGAACAGAATATTTAGAAGAATGGATGAATGGATGAACGAATGAATGAATGAATGAGTGAATGAATGAATGAATTGAAAGCACATGCAAGCAGCATATCTTTATTTAAAAAGAGCTTTCAAAACTCTGTGAATTCTGAAAGACTTGGATCCTGAAAAAATTGGTCTCATCAAGGACATCCTTAAAAAGGTAGCTGCAATAAATTTGTTTTTAGTTCTGCCTAGTCCTTCTCCCTTCATGACACAGAAACCCAAAAATTCAGTCTGTTTCTCCTCATAAATGAGAAAAGCTTAATTGATGTCAAAGTCATGCTGTGGATCTTGTTTCTGTTCTGGAGAGCGACTGAGTACCCAAACATGAGTTCAATTACAAAACACAGTATGTAAGGGTTCATAATGTTTTATAGACATTAAATCACAACTTGGCTAGCATTCATGTCAGGCCCTGCTAATTTTCACTTACTGTGGCAGACATTAGCTTTTTCTGACTGTATGAGTCAGGTAAGAAAGATGATGGACTTCTAAGATTCTAAGTTTCCACATGTGTATCCTCTAGTCTATTGTGAGGTAAATATTCCAAGGTACATTGCATTCAGCATATTAGGGCATATCAGAGAAGGAGTGTAAAAAAGATCTGTTACATACATTTAAATTGAAATATAGATACAAAGAACAAAAGATTTTCCTTCTCTTGTTGACGTATTTTTTGGTCTTAAATGTACAGCAGGCAATGATTTCCTGTTGTCAGTAATACTACATAAAATGATTGTGGACAATAGAAGTTGTGTTGCCTTCTAGAGATAATACACATTTTACAGGTTTAGACTACTTACTTTCAATATCTTTCAATCAAAATTTAATAAAATATGAAAGCCATGAAAAAAAACCCCATGGTTAGTGGTCTTAATTAACAAGTATTTTCATCTGGTAGTATTTATCTATTTTGTTTTAATTTTGTCATTTGTAGGCAGAAAGACATGCTTGTTTCATAACATAATTGCTGACCTGCTGTCAAAGTGCTCATGGGAGAATTAACAGAAGTTTTAAAAGAGACCCAAAACTTCAAGAAAATATGCACATCATCACTTCTTCTCATGTAAAGGAGCGAGAGTGAGATTCAACAGCTAAAGATGAATGAAAAAGTTTCAGCCTTTTGTAAAATAGCTGGTGAATTGTACTTACTGATTGTGGGCCAAACACAATCAGTAAGTACAATTATTTCATCTGCTGCAATAAATTTAAAATTACATGTGTGGATTTTTCCATTTGACAGCAGAGGAAAATGCGCTTCTGAAGTCAGGCTTAATTCAAGAAAGTTCTGTTAAAAATACTTTTATATAATTTATTGTGTTTCTTCAGGCACAGAAGAGATCAGAAGGGAATAGCTGCATCAACTAGATACATTTTTGGCACATAACTTAGTAATTTAGCCACATCTCCCCTTTTTGTAGTAGTCACCATGAGCTCACTAAACCTGCTATACTTTTTTTTAAATGTTTTTTGTCAGCTGTCATTTCTAGCCCAACTGCAATAACTTCTCTGATAAAATCTCTGTTTAGTCTGTGTAGGACAAATTTTCATTCTCATGAAACATTGCTTTTATTGGGGCTTTTCCTGGGTGAAGACTGAGCTGAAGAGTCAATAACACATCAGGCTGTACCTTCATGATAATGTGCTTTAGGGCACAAGCACATCGGAGAAGGAAGGATCTTGGTTTTGGGAGGGTTTCAAGGCTGATCTTACTGTGGTCTTCCCCTGATGGCATGGGTTTATCTAGGTTGTTATTTCTGTTTTCTGAGCCATAATCTACATTTCCAGAGAGTACAGCACCAGCAGAGAAAGTAGGTAAAGTTTTCTCTCGTTCTGAAAAAAAATAAAAAAATAAGAGGAAAGATGAAACCCAGTGAAGAGAATAGGAACAGGAAATAAAACACAGGCACTTGGCTGCTGCCAAACCCAGCAAGCACCTTACTGCACAGGTCCCTGCATGCCCAGGCATGGATGTCCCTACATGCTCTCAGGCTCTATATGGCCACTTTGGTGTCATCCTGCTCGTCCCTCATGAGCTTGACCCTGTTCACATGCTTTGAGGATTCCCACTGTATGCTACCAGGATTTAGCCCCCCACACAACCACAGGGAAGTGCTTTTAATGGATGATGAGAGGAAGGTCACAGCAGTGTGCCTCCCTTTCCTGTGTCTCACCAGAGGCCTGGGCTCCAGCAAGGCAGGACTTCCAAGTAGTCAGAGCAGGGGTGCCCAAGCTGAGAAGTGAACAGAATTTCAGTCATTTGTCCTGGGGCATGGTCTAACTGCTCAATGAACACTGACAAAACTAAGCTCCAGAGATCAAATGATGTATGGTTTCTTCTGTATTCCTGCCAGAGAAGAAAGAGATCTGTATCTCAACAGAGATGTAAATGCTGATGAAATCTTCTTCTGAAATGGGAGCAGTAACAAAAGCTGCCAGGCTGGTGAGATACTTTAACTTGTAACAAGGCATGAGGTTAATTGGGATATAGGAACAAACTCCACTACTTAGCTGCTTATTTTCTTCATTTTTAATAAGATAATTGCGCCTCAAACCAGCCAATAGATACAAGAGTTCCTGTGCTGAGAGGTACAGAGGCAGACTGGTGGTTTGATTATGTGAGAATTATTTCCATAAGAAATCACTTCAAATTACAGACAAATTTATTTCCACACATGCAGACTGGCAAACAGTACTTAATGAAATCAGAATAACCTTTACATTTTTTGACTAATACAAGAATATGTCCCTAGTATGATGAGAGACTGCCTGTTTTTTTGAGATTGCATTTATATTTCACAAGTACCTTTCCCATTATGTAAAGCTGATCTGTGTAACTGAGGCTGTGGGATGGATTGTTCTAATAAGGGAAATTCAGCAGGGAATTGTAGTACACTTAACTCAGACTTATGAATTAATTAATTAACAAAAGACAATTCACTTCAGAATCTGGTACAAATAGGCTTGCAAACTAAAGTCACTGTGTTGCAGATCACTTTTCTTAAGAGATTATGCCTTGCAACTTGGTTTTGCATGTGGAAAAATTCTGGAATACTTTTTGTTTGATAAACTGAACTCAGTGATTTTCCCTGAGCATAAGGACCTTAGATTTCACTTTTATCTAACAGGAAGGCACCTCACATACTGCAAATCCTGCCACCAGGACCAGTTTCATTCCTCCCTGTGGGAAGCTGGGGGTATAAGACCTCTATTGTGATGATATTCTGTGTCACAGGACTAGAGCAGTTGTGGGAAGCTGTAAGTTTGGGATGGATTAAGGACTGTTGAAAAGAAACCCTTTCCTACTGTGTAAGGAGCAGCTCTGATACTTCTTCCAAGACTGGAAGACTTTATGCAGCAGCATGAAGTACACATTTTTGAGGAAGAGAAGTGGAGATGTGCATAAATTATACTGCAGTCCAAATGAACTACTGCAATACCCAGGGTATTTTCAAAATTCAACTGGAAAGTTATATATCTAAACATATAAAATCTCCTGTCTGTGGAACTCTACCAAGACAGGGAGTTAGGACCCCCAGAGTGAATCTGAGCAGTCAGAGGCTTGGTTAAACCAGCAGGAGGAAGGGGTGCTGGTGGGTGACCAGGACTGCTCTCATGAGGGTGAGGCTGGTGCTGCTGGGCACAAAAACAGGCACTGCAGTTGTGCCTCCAGGCATAAAGTGGCTTTTCTTAGCCAAATATGTGACATGCTGAGGGAGGGAGAGAAGTCTCAGTCACACATACATGTTGCATAATCATCAAATATGCCTGTAATACAGTTCTGTCAGAGGCAATTTTCACTTCCATGTGGTTGTCTTGGGAAGCCTCCCTTTCCTAGGCTGAACTGCAACTATCAAATCTCAGCTGGTTTAGCTGAAAAATTATCATGGAATGGTGCCTTTTGACTGAAATGGATTGTTTTACACTCTGTTGTGATGAAAATAAAATCTAAAATTAGCAAACTCTGTCTTCACCAAGTTATGAACCCGGTAAATTTTATGAGAAGACAAGTTTACTTTGCTTTATTTGCAAAATTATTTTGAGAAGGTTTTCACATTTTCACAGCACTTTCCACAAAAAAGTGCCAATTTTTTCTCCCTAAAGATAAAACTGAAAAAGAGATGCTGAGGCAGGTACCTAAAAGTTACAAACGAAGTCTATAAGAATAGATTTATTTTTTCCTCCCCATATTTTTGACACAGAAAAGGTCTTTTCACTAATTCCTAATTAGATTTATCATTAGCATGAAAACTTCAGTGAGCATTGCAGATCTTGTGCTGTGTGCTCAGGTCAATACTTGTCCTGTCTACTGAAAGATGAATGGTATGTTTTCATAGGATCATAGGCTAGACTCTCTGGCAAAGCTCATGTGGAAGTAACACTATCACAGCAAGTATCTACTTGAGTACTTGCAAAAACACCCAAACACCTTCCCTATAGGCATATTCACAATTTGTTTCCTAAAGCACTCAAGTTGAAACAAGTGAGCAGGACAAGAGGGTGGAGGGCCCAGGTGAACAGCAGTATCTTTGTGCAGGCTACATGAATGGCTGTCCCAGCTGAAGATTCACAGCTGTTACATGGTTTAAAATTTTCCAGATTTCAAACTACAAGTCAGATATTTCCAGCTAGACCACCAAATTACTAAACTGCATCACACAAGGAAAATATTCAGTGTTACGTAAAGAAGAAGCAAAACCCTTCTGACATTCTCAGTTTGCATCCATAGAAGAGGAACACTTCCCATAGCAAAGTGATGGATGAGCAGAACACCTGACACATAAGGCACCCTGAAGAGGTCAATCAAGGTAATTGAAATTCAGAGAAAGATAACTCTCTTGCAGTCAAAAAAAATACACCAAGATGAAATATTACTTATTACTTAGTGAAATATTATTATTATTAAAATTTTGATGTAAAAAATACAAAGGTGAAATATCATAAGCTTATCTTTAACAAACACAATCTGTCTATTTGAAGACATGACTCTAGCCTGTCTCTTGATAGTCCCCCTTTTCCTCTATTCCATCCTCCCTCCCCTTTCACTCTTGAAAGAACAGTCTGGTTTGCAGTTTGTTTTGTCACTCCAAGTTTTTATAGGACAGTCTCTTGCCCAGAGTCTCTGGTGGGCTGCCCTATGCTCATCAGTGACTGCTCTCTTGCTGCTACCCTGGTTTGTGCAAGTTCACACAAGGAGAAAGCAATAGGTCTTCATCAATAAATGCAGAGAGCAGTGCACACATAGAGGGCAGTGTGGAAGGTTAGGTACAGAAATGCATCCTGAAATACGGCGGGAAAGAAATGGGCGGCTGAAAGGATCTGCAAAGATAGTCCAAACAGTAGGAGATAAGTTACAGAAAACTGTGGTGATGTCTGCCTCCAGTGAGTAAGGGCAGAGGACTTGAATTCGAATGTTGTAGATATCTAGTGTTAATTCACAGAACCACAGAATGGTTTGTGTTGCAAGGGACACTAAAGATCACCTAGTTCCAACTCCCTGCCACTGGCAAGGGCACATCTCACTAGACCAGGTGGCTCCAAGATGCTTCCAGCCTGGCCTTGAACACCGCCAGGGATGGGACACCCAAAACATGTCTGGGCAAACTGTTCCAGGGTCTCACTGCCTTCATTTGAAATGAAGCTATTTTAAAAGTCCTGTCACACAGCTTGTGTGATTTCCTCAGCTTGTAATTTAGTGATAGCATTAGAACCTGGTGAATAATTTCTGGTGAAATCAGATTGAAGGATGATGCAGGGAAATGTAAGGGGTATTTAGTGAAGATCCACAGCTGGGGGCTGGATAAAAAAGACTGTAAGGACACTTCTGTCTAGTGAAAGAGGAGAATTAGGGGTTACACCTGAAGTAATTGTATGGAAAACAGAAATATAAAAGGGAAAGGGTCCTCTGATCCTTCAAGTGTCATTGTGTGTGAACTCAGCTGAAATGAGCCAAGTTTAGACTCCAGGCTGCAAAATTTTAACAGTGATGATAACTAGCCATTGGAATGAAAAGAACTGTTTTCTGGAATCATCAAAAAGGCTACAGTAAAATTCTTGCTACTTTTAACTCTTTGACCACTTTTATTTTTAAAAGGAAATAAAATGTAGTCTAGGCAGAAATTAGTTGAAGGGATTCCTATTTGAGGACAATAACAGCAGTCCTCTACAATGAGTTTACTATATCTGAATCTATGTAGATAAGCCATCAGCTACAAAATTGCAAAATTGACTGCCAGAGGCTATAGGAAACTCTAATCTATATTTAACATTTCAAACTCTGTGAGAGCTAGAGAGGCTGACTCTGAACTCACAGGTCTGTTTCAATGAGGCCCACCATCAGCTCATGCTGAGATATTTTTTGGATAATTAGGTTTGAGTGGGTTATTCATTTATCTTAGATGTTTGCATAATAAATTTGAAATGTGTTCAATTTATTCCTTGATCATTTGGGGAAAATACAAAGTTTGAGAAAAATCAATTTTTGACCAGTTTTGCTGACTTGTTAGTTTAATTAATCAAAATATTTTTTAAAAAAATCAAATGCTGACTTCTGCAAAACTTTATTTTCGTGTCAGTGAAGGATCATGTTTAGCCTTTTTTCAACCCTGATTCATGGCCCACTGAAATTTATAGGAGCCAGTCATTAGCTATAATGAGCTTTGAAATGGGTCCCTTGTGAAACAGACTGCTCAGATGAGAACAGATGCAATCATATTTGGATTTTTAAACGGTACAGCTTGAATCTGAATTGTTTGCATTCAAGTCAAAGTGTGCTGACTTAGAAGAAGAGATAATTGTAACACTTAGATGCATCTGCCTACTAACTTCTACTGATTGCTCTGCCATGAATTCCTCATCTAAACAGATGCATAAATGGAATTCTGCAAGAGTTTGCCCTGGCTGTGTTATATTCAATATTTTCATTAATGACCTAGATGGGAAGAAGAGCATGCTTATTAAATTTCCAGAAAATGTCAAGTTGAGAAAGACTGGATGCCGGAGGACAGGATTAGAATTCAAAATTACCTTGACTAACTGGATAAATTGTCTGAAAAAATAGGGCAATATTCAATAAGAACAAGTTCTAGGAACTAAACTCAGCAGGGAGTGACCAGTTGCAACAATACCATGCTGTTGCAAAACACCCTCCTGACACACACTAGGCAGGAATAGAGACTGCAAAGCATGGCAAATAATCTTTCTGCTCTGCACTGCAAATGCCTCAGCTAGAATATGCGACCTGGCTTTGGGCAAAAGACTTTATAAGGGTGTGTGCCAGCTGGAAAATACCCAGCAGAAAACAGCAATGATTTAGATTAGATATCAGGGCAAAGTAGTCCTTTCAACAAGGAGAGTGAAGCAGAGGTTGCTGATGGTTAGGAATCGTCAGCACTGGATACCTATTTGTGTCTGAGAAAGTTGAAGGTCTGCTTTAGACACTCCACCTGCAAGTCTAATAAATCCTTTAAGTGAGATTGAGCAGTGTTTATTCTAGGCTTTGTACACCACAGGGTGAATTAGTTATGGTTCAGTAAATGTTTTTAGAAGATAAGTCTACTCTAAACTCAGAAGTGGGCCATGTCTGGCATAGAACATTTAGAAGTGCCTCAGTTATCAATACTTATGTATTTCAGCTAAGATTATTCTACATTAAAAAGGTACACAGATTATTTAGACACAAAATTTTTAAAGATGTTTAGTACTTCAACAAATCTGAAAATGCATTTCTAATTTCTTAACCCATGACTGAGTCATAATATGACCGATTATTAAGGAATTTACCACTCTCATTTCCTCCTCCATGTAACTTCAATAATTCTATGGGTCACATAATAAATGCAAACCAAAACCCCTACCATTTTCCAAATAATTGTAGTAATGATCTTTATTGAGCTGGGCACACTGAAGGATTTAGCATCACAAGGGATTGAAACTCAAGCACTTATACACCCTATTTTTCATGTGATTTATCCAGTTTTTCAAGGACATGTTTTATTAACACATTTTGATATTTTGGTATATGCTTGGCTGCTGTGGGATTGTGTGCACCTCTGAGAGAGTAAGCAGTCTTCTGTTATGGGTTGAGTAGAGTGAACAGATATTTCTTCCAAGAAAAAAGCAGAAGGAAAATCATAAGGAAACCATGAAATTTTAATGTTTTTATATGCTGAAAACTGACTGATAAAGCCAGTAAAAAATTATTCTCCTTTCCAATTGTCCCTTAAAGAAGCTCAACATAGCCTTGAGGTTGTGCGCATACACTTACTTCATATTGCCACAATGTGTGCTAACCACTTTGTCAATTAACTTATAATTGATCTACAAATGTGTAAAAGAAAATACAAATCAAGAAAAAAGAGATTTTGATGAATGAAAATTTGTCACAATCTTTGAGCTTTTCTGTAATATGTCACTATCATAGCAAGTATTTTTTATCATATTTGCTCCTTATTAGGATTTCTCTATCCCTTGTTCTTAAGGTGCTTTTAAGTTTGAAGTAGTTAGCAGTAATACAGATTTACACAAAGAGAAATTGAAGCATGGGATGCAAACATTTTTGGTATCCAGGGATAGAACACAAATCTCTAAAGTCCACCTGTAGCAATTTAAATTGGGACTGAAAAATGGTTAGAAAACGAAATAATAAGTTAAATTTGAACAGAGCTGAGATGTAGCCTGAAACCAGAAAAAAATAGTTTACAGATTTTAATTTGTTTGATTTGTGCTTCCAAATCAGGTCTATCACTACAGTCCTTAGCACCAAGAGGTCAGTTTAATGATTTAAACCTCCTCTTACAAAAATTAACATAAAAACTAGAACAACAATTTAAGATTATGCAGCTAATTAATTATATCTGTCACTGTTAGTTCCAAGGGAGTCTGCTCAGTTGCATATTTTATGGAGGAGAAAAAGAGGGAGTAAGCAGTTGAGTGAAAAGGTGAAAAATTGTCTGCAGCCACATTCATATTCAGCTCAATGTAAAAAGTGTGTATTTATTCTCTGAAGGCAAGAATACTGATCAGATTGAAAGACTCCCAGTCCTAAATAGGACCTAAGTGCTGTGGAATAAAGCCTGTAAATCCAGCAGGTCAGACAACGCCCTTTTGATACTAACTGCTCTTTTTTTTTTTCCTTCCCTTTCTGACAGCTCATTTCTAAAGAAGACCTCAAGCTACTGATGTTTTATGGCAATGTTTGTGCATTTGCTAAATTAAAATATGCTTCATGTCTTGCCATTACTGCTGGTAAATTCTTTTTATTATTTTTCATTGGTAACAACTAGAAGAGTAACTGTGCTTGGTGCTGGTCATGGGTGGTGAGTGGTCACAATGCAGGTCCTTCTGTTCTGGGCACAGGCAGCAGTTTGTTCCACCACCTGAGGAAAAACAAGAGAAGTTATAATGTGTCTACATGGTCTGGCAAAAAGAGAAATGGGTTTGGAAGCCTCTGAAGGCAGCTCTGGATATGTGAATTCATGCAAGTTAAGATGGATAGGATAATTTCTCTGAGTCTGCAAAGCATCTCTGTGTAATGTCTGTCACTGACTAACTAAGGAAATAGTGTAGGTCTTTTGTAGGTCTGCTTCACTGCCCAGGTTGCACACATTTAGGATCACAGTACAGTGCCTCTTGCACTTGATAACCCTCTGTGGCAAAACCCATTACTTTATTGACCCTTCCACCACAGAAATGGGATGAGCACAGGCTGCTTCATGAAGTTGAGTCTAACAACCCAAATCAGTTGAGTTTAATTCAAATAGTCCATGTCTAATCCAAATAA